CTTGAGATATATCATCAATTGTATTCTTAAAAAATTTTACCAAAATAGTTCAATTTCATACATCTACTGTATTGAGTTATTCAAACTACAGATATAATTAGCGCTCCTAACGTATCCATTGCTAAAGTTTTGAACGCTGCATTATAAAAATCAAAGCACAGGTGGATATGCTAGCAAAATTGGCCCTATTTGAAAATTATAAAAAATTTCCCTTCTCTTTACCTTAAATTGTATTCCTTTTCTTCATTATTTGAACAGATCCCGACGCCATTTTTAATTCATAGATCGCTCTAAGTATGCCCTAACAAAGTGCAAAGACAAGAAGATTTGAAATGTTTGATCAATACCTTTTAAAAAACTCAAAAGTATTGGTATAGAAATACCATTGTGGCTTTATTAAAAGATATTGATCAAACATTTCAAGTCTTCTTGTCTTTGCACTTTGTTAGGACACACTTAGAGTGATCTATACACAAGATATGGCTTCAGAGTCTACTTGAATAATGAAGAAAAACGAAAGAAATTTTAAATAGGACCAATTTTGCTAGCATATTCGGTTCCGTCCTTTCTCAACGAACGACATTTCTGAAGTTGAAATTTTTCTAATTTCTCAAAGATAATCTATGAGAATGAACGTTTAATATCATCATGAGGATAGTGTCGAACTCTACAACCTGCTATAAATCCTATCCGAAACGGCGACTTGCACTGTTCGATCTTTCTTATATATAAAATATTTCTTTTCATGAATATTCATGGAACAGCAAAAACTTTATTTTTGCCATTCGCCTTTTTGAGATTTTTCTTTCAAATTTTTCTATTCAATGTTCTTAATTTCACTGTTTTTCTCTTCAGCATTTACTGCTCTATATTCAATAATTTATTATTCGATAATCTCTTTTTCTAACAACGTCGAATAATAAAAAATAACCTTCAGAAAATATGAGTTTGGAGATATGTAATACTATTGAAAAAAATGGTCAATCATCTTGATAAGATTCAATAAGAAACTGTACTAATAACGAGAAATGATGCAGTACGATGTAGATTGCTTTCTGTATGACTAAAGAAAATCTAAAACAGGTTTCACAACGCCCTATGTGTCGAAATGAGGAAAACAGACAGAAGAATATTCAAGAAAAACTTAAGAATTTTGGTAAAAATCAGAACATCGTAAAATTTATTCTGATATTGCTATTTAGAAGCAAATCTGCATAAAAATGTATGAAGTACTGATGATTAATTGAAACTAAAACATATTATGTTGCTTCAATAAATGTCATAACTAATTGAGAAGGAATATGTTCTACAACGAAGTGATATTCTTTAGATACACACTATTAATCGTGCTTCATTCTTTTCGTACTTTCTTTCTTATTGTTTAGTTTAGTTTGTGTTCCACTCCATATATTAAACTAATACAATGTTATAAACATTTATCTCTGGAAGATCTATCCTTTTGAATTAGATCTTCTCAAATGTCGAAAAGCACCGAATTTTATTCAAAATGGTTGCTTAGATTAGAAAATATCAATTGAATTTGTTCTCGATGGCTTATAAAAAGGCAAAATAGCTAATTCATTCTAATGTATTGTGTATAATAGAGATGATCTTACGAGGGAAAGTTTTCAACTGCCAAATCGTTGCTGAGTTTGGATTCTGTTCACTAGCTAGACCCCCCCCCCCCCCCCCCAGTGATATATGAAAAATTTCAAAAATGATAGTACCCATAGGCCTTCCATCTAAAGCTATAAGCGTTTTACTGGAATTTTAGTCTATGACATGGTATATACCAATAAATCGAATGACGGTATTTCAACCTAAAATTCTCTTTACAGATAGGTCTGTTTATGAGTAGAATATCTGAAACATTTTAACTCAAAATAATTTTTTCTTCTCTCAATATTAAACTGCAAAAAAAAACAGAAAATTGTAGTATCGTGGGTGGGATAGCAGTGATTTTGAGGAGTTTAACATCTCGGAAAGAAAATATTTTTTAGTTGAAATTTTAAGTTCATTCTACTCATAAATGGATCTATCTGTAGAAACAATTTCAGGTCAAAATATCGTCATTCGATCTAATGGTATATACCGTGCCACAGACTAAAATTCCAGTAAAATCCTTATAACACTGGACAAAATATCCATGGGTACTTATCCTTGTGAAATTTTTCGCATCTTACTGCGATCTACCTCGTGCGCAGAATTCGAACTCAAAAGCGATTGGACAGTTGAAAATGTTTCCGTGTTAGTATAAAAAAAGAACGCGTCATAATTGTGTAAATTTAGTTCTATAGAGATGAATCATAAAAAGTTAGGATAAAATCACGATTTTCAATCAAAAACAGGAAAATCAGGTCGCTATTAAAAAATCAGGAAAACAGTCTCATAGCGAAGCCTCCTTAAAGCTACGAGCTTCTAGTGGCAAGTTATGGCAAAATTTTGCTTATAAAAAGTGAAAATGTCTTTAAAATTTTCTAAAAATTTTTCTCTTGATTTATTAAATTTTTAAGAATATTTTATATTAATAAACAGTATGGTCTATATAATTAACTTCAACATACTGGATTTTTCATTGTTATTTTTGTAAAAACAAATACAAATGCAGATAACACAAATGATTTTCTTGTATGAATATGATGATAATAAAGAAGTCATGATCGAAAGAATGTTTATTTTTAACATATTTTATTTCTCAAACTACTATCATACTTGTTATTAAACAAATATTGTAATATATAATTAAGCATATGTTTTTGAGCAAATGTTATACATATAAAACAACCGTTCATACGAAGAACGTCATCAATTTGTTGAAGAATTTGATTAATAGCAGAAAGAACTTACTTGTTTTTAAAATAAAACAATTTTCTTTTTTTATGTTAATCATATTTATTTACTGTTATCTTATATTAATGCATTAGTAGTACCATCATCTAATAGAACACTAAATTGCCCATCATCAAATATCATATTGAATATAAAAATAAAATATTTTAAAAAATATGAATTAACATTATACTTGTCGTCCATCGATTTGTAAACATTTCATATTTTGATTCGTCATTTTTCATTTTGTTTTTTTCTTTTCATTTGTTTTATAATTTTATCATATAAACCAATATTTGTTATATATTCAAGATCAGTATGATATCAATCATTACTTAATGTTAAATTATCATAACCAATAATTAAAATATCATCACGAAGTTTTATATATTTGTAATGTGCACAAAAATTTGGATCAATATTTTTAAGATAAAAACCACCAGGATCATTATGATATTGCGCCCATATAAACATCCAAAGACACAAAGAGAGGGAGAAAAAAATAGAAGAAAAAGAAAACAAAAAACAAAAGAAAAATAGAAGGAAAAAAATTATTGACGATGAGGGTGTGGGAAATAAAGTCTCACATCAAAATGAATACCAAATTCTCTGGGCATAAGATCTCTCAAGCTAGCTAATAGATTAATTATTGATGTACCATATTCCGACCAAATCCACATCATCAATGATATAACAATCACAAAGATAATAATTATTAATAGCCAAATTTTGAATATGTTCATATATTTGCGCCATATCTAGGAATAAACAAAATAAGATAAGAAAAAAAGATATACAGTAAAACTTCTTGTAGTAGACGCCTCTATATAGTGAATAACTCCGTATAGTGAACATGGTTTCACTGTTATGCAGAGTAATTTTTACTGAAATCGAACCTCTGTATAGTGAACACTACCCTGTGTAGTTCGAAGAAAATAGCTCGAATCTTTAATCAGTAATTACTGGCTGTTGACTTCAATTGTCTCATCCACGCATCTAACAACTGGAATGCTAATGAACATCTGAAGAGACTGGTTGAGATTTAATCGAGAAAGAGAAAGAGAATAGCTCTTCGGCGGAAACCAATCGATTTATATGGAATATTGGAGATGATGAAAAAACTATATTGTTTTCTTTGTCCTGTCAACAGTCTCAAATACATATGCTCGCCTCCAGTCTCAAATCATAATTAGCTCTCATGTTCTCTAGATTCGAATATTGAAAAAAACAGAGCTTTATCAATAATTATTTAACAATTGTTGATTTTCAACGTTATTTTTAAAGATAAAAATAGACGACGAGCAGAGAATTACTAACATATTGGAGTCAATTCTTTGGTTCATTAACATTTTTTCAGGTATTTTAAAAAAAACATGTCTGTTTCTTCGAAAAACCTTCGCTTTTGAAAAATATTTAACCTCTTCATAATGAACACTTCCATATCAGGAATACTCTGAAAAGTATCCAGAATGTCCACTATAAAGAGATTTTATTGTAATTAAGATTAACTCTAATGCTTTCAGCAATAGTATTAAAACTAAACCTAATGCTTTGGCATCATAGGCATTAGAATTTATTATAGAGTGTCCCAAAAGTCATGTTCACTTTAGAAATGTTTATAACTTCATTATTCAATAAGTTTAATTTAATATATTTTTTTATTAGGAGAGGAGACCATAAAATTTTTTTTTGTTTAATATAAGATTTATAAATACTTTTTAAAAAGTATCATTTACAGCTGCAACATAAACATGTTGCATTTTTCCAATGTAAAAAAATAGTATGCAACGTTTTTTCTATATTTAATTAAATTTATTTTATTATTGTGAACTTAACCCTTTACCCCCCCCCCCCCCCCCCCTCCCCTCCATTGGTCACTGGAGTGACCATTTGTAGAACAATTACAGAAATTAAAGGAAGCATCGGATTCAAAAAAAAACAACAACCTTTTTTGTAGCAAACTTCATGGACTATCCATTGGTAAAAAGAACATTTCCTTTCATTGCTTCTTTACTGGAATCTCGGGTCTACAAAAGCGGTAATTTTGAAAAAATGAAAAAAAATCGAAAATTTTGAAATAAAATGATCTCTACTCTTAGTCAACAGAGATTTTTTGGAATTGCCGTGTGATATTAATTGATGAAGGAGCCCTCCGATCAACGAAATATGTTTCGAAAGTTTCATATGTCCTTCGTGGACGACAGATATAAAGGGACACAATTGACCATGTAGCCACTATATAGCAGATGAAGAGTAATCAAGAGCGAAGTTAATACATGTATTATAAAGCTCAACTCATGCCAAGTCGAAATCATATATATGATGAATTACATTTCTCCACAGGCTATAAAACGTCTCAGAACAAATTAGGCTATAACTTGACAACACGTATAAAAAATACATGTATTCTTTGGTTTAAAATGTTTTAGGTTCACTACTTGCCTTTTTCCGTTACTCTAATAGCACGATATATATGTTGCTTTAGCCCAGTCAATAACGTGGTCAAAAAAAAAATTAAGTATTACAATGTAGTTCAATTCCTTTTCTCCAGCACAAGAGCATGGGATCAATCAAACCGCCCTACTCTAGGAGCAGGACATTCAATGGATCAAACCACAACATTAACATACTAGAAGGACTAGTACTCCATGAATAAAGTTATTTTCCCAGTGGCTCTTCTGAAAATGCTATGAGTAATAAAGTGTTAAAATCATTATCATGTGGTACTATTATTTTAACAGCATTTATTTCCATTTTTTCTTATAAAAAGAATGCAAGAATGCGAAATTTTATGATAATAGGAGCCTTGAAATCGTTCGATACTTTGATTTTATTAATTAAGCAAGCTCCTGCTTGTCAGAGAAAATATGCTTTATAAATATATACCAGTTGATCGATCTTCTTAAAAAATGTCCAATAAATGGTTGTAGAACAAAGATAAGGGATGATAATGATTTTGAGCTCATAATGACAAGAAAAATTCAATTAAATATAGAAAAAACATTGCATACCTTTTTTTTGATATTGAAGAAATGCAACATTTTTATGTTGCAGTTGTAAGTGATACTCTTTAAAGAGTATTTATAAACTTTTTATTACAAAAAAAAAAACTTTATGATCTCCTCTCGGAATAAAAAAAAATTAAATTAAGCTTGTTTAACAATAGAGTCATAAGCATTTCTTAAGTGGACAGGACTTTTATGATACCCTGTATTGTCCAGAGAGAACTTAAAAAAGTTACAGATATCATGTTTAAATCGTCTTTAAAAAAATGGCAAGTATGATGCTGAGATAGTTATTTGAAAGTTGCAAATTTCATGTCCAGCTAGGCTTTAAATAGTTACGACGAGTAGTATATGTATGAGAATTAGAAATAATACTAATTTAATCCTAACATCCTCGCATTAATTAATTCTAATGTCAATCATGCGAAAGAATTCGATTTAATCAAAGGGCAAAAGTATACCTCTGCTGTTATGAAGTACGAAGATGCATCAACAAGTATGAAGAAGTACAGAAGTATGGTTTTTCTCCCTTAGACTTAAGAATTCATTCTAATGTCCAAGTATTAACGTTTATTTAATACTAATGCTACTACAAGACGTCTATAAAAACTTGATGAATAAAAAAAAAGTCCGGTGTAAAACTTTAACATAGAAATATATTCAAAACTTACTGATAGTTCTTCAACACAATATTTATCTTGGAAATACATATTTAATGGACACATGAGATGAGCATATGGTTTGTCTGAATTGGGTTGGCATACGTAATAATAACGTGAATCATTTTCATCTGGAAGAATTTCCAGTGTTTTCACATTTGCACATATATTAATTGAGCTTTTAGATGTTGTTTCATTAAAGAATACACGAAAAATTGTTGATGTGATTGGAAATACACCATTATGACAAAATACACCTGTGTAATCATCCATATCAATTGAATCTATTAATACTCCAGCTAATTGTGAATTTTTTATAAATTTTGCTTTTAATTCAATTGTGCCATTAATACTAATATTATTATTTAACATTATTGGTTCTATATCATCAAATATAATAAAGTTTTTCTCTGAATGAGCAGTAACTAAAATACTTTGACTATTAAAAATTCTTTTATAATGATGCGATTGAATACGATGACAAATCTAAATAACAAAAAAAATGAATCTAGTTGATGTTTTATATTTAAAAATTTTACTTTATGATAAGAAAGTATTCCAACTTTATGTATAATACGGTCTGAAAAATCTTTTTTTGCTATATGATCACCAATTTGATATTTGTTTTCATCTTCTAATTTAAATGCTAAACCATATGTTGGAATACTCATAATTAATTTTTCTTTTGGTAAACCAGTTGAAAGAACAAAATGAAGTATTGATATCTAAATTTGATAAAAATAAATTAATATTAAAAATAATATAATTAGTATTTTTTTTAAACCATAGAAAAATCTCCAATATTTTTTGTTGGATTAACTGGTATAAAAGAAGAGAGACTATTCCATGGTTGAATATTATTATAATTTTCTATGGATTTTTTATCGAACGGAAGAAGAATAAGTAAATCAAAATATCTAAAAATTTTCAATAAAAAAATAAATTTACTATTTGAAATATAAAAAAAACCTACTTATGTAATTCAATCATTTGAAGAAATGATGTTTGATCAGTTGAATCTGTTGGAACTTGAAATGAAATTGTTAATAAATATTTATTCGACCATGATTTTCGAATTGTCTAAAATAAATATTTTTTATGATTTTTTTTGTTTTCATTGTTTCTGTATAAAAAAAAATACCTTAATTATTTCAGTTATATTATTTGAAAATGTTTTTGAATTAATATTTATATTAATACCGTCAACTTTTTTATCATTAATATCTATTTTTAATTGATTTATATTTATATCATCATCATTTAATTGTATTTTAAGAAGAATTTTTAAATTCGAATTTATTTTTTTTAATTTATCAGAAATTGATGATGATAATAAAGAGCTATTACAATTAATTAATAAATGTGTACAAAGACGAACATCAATTTTATCCAATGTAAAAGGTATTGAACTATAATATGTTTTTGTTATTGAACTTATTGAACATAAGATATGCTTTTGTTTAGAATCTATTTTTAATTCATCTACATTTTTTGAAACTAAAATTAATAAATTAAAAAGAAAACTTTGATAAAAAATATTTCACATGCCTGATGATTTATTAATATATAAATCGAAAACATCAGCAACAGCATGTAATAAGGGATAAGGACCTTGTCCACATTCTCCAGTAACATCATCCATTCCTATTGATGATAATGTAATACCATGTAATCCATAACGTTTTGCAAAACGAGCCTAAAACAATTGATTTTGATTATTCGTAATTAATTTTAATAGGAGAAGAATTTGGACTTAAAGTTATATTTACAAAAATCGGTTCATAAAAAAAGATAATCACAGAACAACTTT